TTTGATGACTGCCTTGAGTTCTAGAAGTGTTTCTTTTACATAAGTGGGTGCCTTTATATTAGGGGCATAGATATTCAGGATTGAGACTTCCTCCTGATGAATTGTTCCTGTTATGAGTATGAAATATCCATCTCCATCTCTTCTGATTGATTTTAGTTTGAAGTCGATTTTGTTAGATATTAGAATGGCCACACCCGCTTGTTTCTTAGGTCTGTTTGCTTGGAAAACCTTTTCCCAACCCTTTACTCTGAGTAGATGTCTGTCTTTGTGGTTGAGGTGTGTTTCTTGTAAACAACAGAATGTTGGATCTTGTTTTCATATCCAATCTCTAAGTGTGTGCCTTTTTATAGGTGAATTGAGTCCATTGATATTAAGTGATATTAATGATCAGTGGTTGTTGACTCTGGTCATTTTTTTGGGTAGTAGAGTGTATGTGTTTTCCTTCTTTGAGTTGTGCTTGTGAAGGGTCGGTAGATGTCTGAGTTATTGTAGGCAGTGTTGGGAATGTTAGATTCCTTGGATTGTGATTTGTCTTCTAATACTTTCTGTAAGACTGGATTTGTAGCTACGTATTGTTTAAATTTGTTTTTATCCTGGAATATTTTGTTTTCTCCGTTGATAGTGAACAATAGCTTGGCTAGGTATAGTAGTCTGGGCTTGCATCCATGGTCTTAGTTTCTGCAGTACCTCTATCCAGGACCTTCTGGCTTTCATGGTTTCCATAGAGAAGTCTGGTGTAAGTCTGATAGGTTTACCTTTATAAGTTACTTGATCTTTAGCCTTTGCAGCTCTTAATACTCTTTCTTTAATCTGACTGTTTTGTGTTTTGATTATTATATGGCGAGGTGATTTTTTTTTGATCCAGTCTATTCGGTGTTCTGTATGCTTCTTGAACCTTCATAGGGATATCGTTCTTTAGGTTGGGGAAGTTTTCTTCTATAATTTTGTTGAATATATTTTCTGGACCCTTGATCTGCAATTCTTCTCCTTCTTCAATTCCTATTATTCTGAGATTTGGTTTTTTTTATTGTGTCCCACAGTTCCTGAATGTTTTGTGATGAGAATTTGTTGGATTTGCTGTTTTCTTTGGTCAGAGCATTTAATTTCTCTATGGTGTCCTCAGAGTCTGAGATTCTTTCTTCTATCTCTTGTATTCTGTTGGTTATGCTTGTTTCTGAAGTCTCTGTTCGTTTACCTAGATTTTCCATAGCCAGCCGGCCCTTGGCTTGTGATTTCTTCATTGACTCCATTTCAGTTTTCAAATCTTGAACTGTTTCCATGACCTGTTTGATTGTTTTTTCTTGGTTTCCCAGAATTTCATTTACGGATTTACTCATTTCTTCAAACTTTTTAGTATATTTCCCTTCCATTTCTTTACTCATTTCCTCAATCTTTTTGTTATACTTATCTTCCATTTCTTTTCGGCAGATTTTCACCTCCTGTTTAAGTTCCTCTATTATTTTCATAAAGATCTGCTTAGAGTCGATTTCTTCTATTTCTTCTGGAGTAGTAGGGTGTTCAATTCTTCTAGTTTCGTGCTCCCTGGATTCTGGAGATGTCATGTTGCCTTTCAGGTTGTTGGAGGAATTCTTGCATTGGTGCCTGCCCATCTCCTCCTCTCTGGATGAAACTCCTCAGCACTTTCTGGATAGAACTCCTCAACATTCTCTGGGTAGGACTCCTCAGCACTCTCTGGATAGAGCTCCTCAGCACTTTCTGGGTAGAACTCCTCAGCACTGCATCAGGGCTAGCTGGTCTTCCCAGGACCCAGGAGACAAAAGGGCGGCAGCAGTGGGGACAGGGAGGGTTCCCTTGGAACACCGAAGACCCTGCCACAGAAGTTGAGGGGGGAGGGGCTGTGCTCTCTTTTGGGACAGGCCAGCTGCCGCCCAGGCGAGCACCCACTCACCTCTCTGGGTAGAACTCCTCAGCAGTGCAACAGGGCTAGCTGGTCTTCCCAGGACCCAGGAGACAAAAGGGTGGCAGCAGTGGTGGCAGGGAGGGGTCCTGTGGAACACCGAAGACCCTGCTGCAGAAGCTGAGGCGGGGAGGGGCTCTGTGTATAAAGCTTATATTTCTGAGGAAAATATTAGAAGATATTACAGATGACAGAAACCGGCCATTTGGGCTGTACAAGAACACAAAGCAATTGATGACCCTTCAGAGGTACCAACAGCCCTGCCTCTAAAATGGTTGACTGAGAAGCCAATATGGATCAAGCAATGGCCTTTAGCTGAGGAAAAGTTGCAGGCTTTAGAACAGCTGGTACAAGAGTAATTAGATACTCAACATATAGAAGAATATCGGCGAATCAATCCCACACCAGTTATGTTTTAAGGGGTTATTTATTTTGGGGGGTAAAACTTACATACACCATAAACCGTCAGGAAGGGAGCCTAGTCGCAGGAGCTGGGAGCAGGAGCCAGGAGCAAGCACCGGAACCAAGAGCCGGAACCAAGAGGGCCTATTCCGGATATGCTTCTCTTTTTAAAAGAGAAATATACCACGCCCCAGTGGGCTGGTATTTCAGCAGCTATTGGCTGACGGAGCGGAAGTCGCTCCCCGCTGCACTGTGGGCTCGTATTTCAGCGACTATTGGTTGAGGCAGCGGAAGTTACTCCCACAACAGAAGAATCTACCAGCACTTGGAATTCTCCTGTATTTGTTATGAAAAAAATCTGGAAAATGGAGAATGGTGACAGATCTTAGGACTATCAACAAGGTTATTCAGTCTATGGGCCCTCTGCAATCTGGAATTCCTCTGCCCTCTCTGTTACCAAAGGGATGGCCTCTCATTGATTTAAAGGATTGTTTCTTCACTATACCTTTACAAGAAAAGAATAGAGAAAAGTTTGCCTTCACAGTGCCTACTTTCAGCCTACTAGGAGGTACCAGTGGACTGTCCTCCCACAGGGTATGCCCACCTTGTGTCACTATTTTGTAAGTCAACCATTGGAAGTAATACGCAAGCGATTTCCTAAGTCTATAATTTACCATTACATGGATGATATTTTGCTATCTGATTCAAACATAGATACCTTTTTAGAAAGACTGTTTGAAAAAGTAAAGATAGTTTTACCTAAATGGGGATTGCAGATTGCTCCTGAAAAAATACAGAGAGGAGATTCTGTCAATTATCTAGGTTATAAGATACAAAAAATTCAGACACAAAAGGCACACATTAGGAGAGATTCTGTCAATTATCTAGGTTATAAATTTCAAAAAATTCAGACACAAAAGGCACACATTAGGAGAGATTGGTTACGAACTCTTAATGACTTTCAAAGATTGTTAGGAGACATCTCCAGCCTACGGCTGGCTGTTGGAATAACACCTGATCTAATAATTCATTTAAAGAAAACCTTAGATGGTGATAAAGACTTAAACAGTCCCAGAGAATTAGCAGCTGAAGTAGAAAAAGAACTGACAATGGTTGAAGAAAAGTTACAGGAGGCACATGTGGATAGGGTAAATCCAAAGCTTAGTTGTATTCTTGTCATATTGCCTTCCAGAATTTCTCCTACAGGAATCTTAATGCCGAGAGATATTATCTTAGAATGGATTTTTTTACCACATAAACCAAGTAAAAAATTAAAAATTTATGTGGAAAAGGTCTCTGACTTAATTATAAAAGGTCAATTGAGGCTTCGTCAACTAGCAGGCATAGACCCAGCAGAAATTATAGTGCCTTTCACTACTGATGAGATAAAAAAAATTATGGAAAGACAATGAACCATGGCAAAGAGCTTGTGCTAATTTTTTTTGGAGAAATTAATAGCAACTATCCCAAAATCAATAGGCTTAATTTTATAAAGAGAACTTCTTGGATTCTTCTCGAATTGTCCATGATGCTCTGATAACTGGGGCCCGTACATTTTTAACTGATGCCAATAAATCAGGGAAGGCAGGTTACAAATCAGAAGAATTGAGTAAGGTGGAACAAAGCCCTTATGATTCTGTCCAGAAGGCAGAATTATATGCCATTCTTATGGTGCTAAGGGATTTTAAAGAACCTCTTAATATAGTTACTGACTTGCAATATGCAGAAAGTGTTATCTTGCATATTGAAACTGCTGAATTTATACCAGATGATACAGAACTCACTTTATTGTTTATCCAGGTACAAGACATGATCAGGAACAGGCTTTGCCCTATGTACATAGCACACATCTGATCCCATACGGGTCTGCCAGGTCTTCTAGCACAAGGTAATGCAGAAATTGATCAATTCAGAGCTGCAGGCCTCTGAATTTCATAAAAAACATCACATCAATAGCAAAGGCTTGAAGAAAGAGTTTTCTATTACATGGCAACAAGCTAAGGAGATTATAAAGAAATGCCCTACTTGCTCTTTCTATAACCAAGCACCACTGCCTGCACGGACTAATCCAAAGGGTACTCAAAGGAATGAAATCTGGCAGATGGATGTGTTCCACCTTGTGAAGCTTGGCAAATTAAAATATGTACACACCATTGACACTTATCAGGTTTTCAATGGGCAACTGCTTTAAACTCAGAAAAAGCTGATTCAGTAATTACTCATTTATTAGAAATCATGGCCATCATGGGTATACCTGCACATATAAAGGCAGATAATGGTCCAGCTTACGTCTCTAGGAAAATGAAACGATTTTTTGCTTATTATAATATTAAGCATGTTACAGGTATACCATACAATCCTACACGTCAAGCAGCCATAGAAAAATCAAATCGAACTATAAAGGATATGTTAAATAAACAGAAAGGGGTGGAAAATGCCCCCAGAAATAGATTACATAATGCTTTATTAACCTTGAATTTTCTGAACGCTAATGAGAAAGGGACGATGGCCGCAGAAAGACATTGGATAATGGAAAATTCTGCTGAATTAAATCAACCGGTTTATTTCAAGGATGTGCTGACCTCGCAATGGAAGCCAGGAGATGTGCTGTGTTGGGGACGGAGTTTTGCTCTTGTTTCCACAGGAGAAGAAAAAATGTGGATACCATCAAAATTAATAAAGGTTCGGTTTGAAGAGGAGGAACCTCTTGAAAAGCAGAAATGACAATTCATCCACAATGATGATAATCATACCGGTGGTAAGAAAAACATATAGAATGGGTGCAGGATTCTCTTCTTATCTCTGCAGGAAAACAAAAAATTCAAGGGACCCTGGATGTTTGAATTCTGACAGATGAAAACTATTTACAACCCAATAAGGATCAGCAAGAAAATTGTATGGGTTCCATAAGTTAAATTATTCTACACATATTTTAAATATGTATTAATGTCCATATATTTATAAATATATAAAGCTGGTTTTGGAGTTGGACTCTGTCTCAGTCCCTCTCCAGTTCCAAGGCTGTTGTTAAGAGAAATCCCAGAGTTTCTGTCTCATGTCAAGAGCCATGATATGGGACACAAGAAAACTAATGATAATAATAATAATAATTTATAAACTTTCTTTGCCTTTCCTCATATCTGTTTCTGTCTTTATCATATCTTTCATTGAATATATATATATATATATATATATATGTTTCTATGTGTCTATATAGATAATGCTTAAGTTTCCCATAAGAAACAATAAATTTTCTTGCAGTAATCTTTGAAGTTTCCAGGAAGAAGATGGGGCCCCACAACAACAACTCCACCCGGTTAATATGACATCATGATGCTGATAGCACTACTACAAGACCTGTTTTTTGGTACCAGCTGCACAAGACAGTTCCAACTTTGTTAGCGGAAATGGTGCACATCTTTTACAACATTCTGGCCAGACCTCCACAAAACACTCAGAGACTATTTGCAATTTTACCAGAACAAATATTAATCTTGGAATTTAACCATCATTTACTTTCACAGGATCTCCTAGGAAGAACATCGCCCCTATGACAGCTGGAATCAATTTTAGAGGACAATGTCCCCTCTCCCAGAAGAGTTTGCCCTCAGGTTTAGGGGTTGGTTTTAATTGGTATGTGGTTGAGGGATGGGGGAGGTATTTTATAGGCTCAGGGATGTTCTTGAAAAAAAAAAGAGGGATAATTGGTGTTGGAATAATAGATTGGTATTTGTGAGTTATTGTTGTTAGACAATTATATTGGTATCGATTCTTGTATATTGATACAAAGTTAAATTATATTGAATATTGTATGCGAGTATGCTTCTACCTCTGTTTAAAACATTTTTATGTATTGATGTATATATATATATATAGTATTGATATATATTTACCATATTGCAGTGTACATTTCTACCTCTAATCAAGATACTTATACATTGTTTACATTTGAAGGTCATTGTTCTTTTTATTCCACAGTTGTTTATTGTTTTAGTCTTTAAGTTAGATAGGTATTGAGAATTGTAGATCAATAGTCATCTGTGTCTGTCATATTTATAGTTAGACTAACCAGGTTCTTTAGATACATAGAGATTATATTCAGTATAGTTAGTATAATCTTCAGCCTCTTCAAAGAGCTGTAGAAAATGGCATTTAAGCTAATTTAGAGTTCTGTGGTAGTGAGACACATTCACTCCTGGCAACACCGAGCTATTCCTGAGAGATTGTTGAGCACCAAAGACACTCCACTTGGAGCTTGTCTTTTTCTTGGCAGAACTGGCCTTTGGGCATAGAAAAGCCCATGCCTTGACCACTGACAGAGATACAGAGTATCCATAAATGGATAAAACAGGACTGTCATATCCTGCCAAGACAGGGTAAGATAGTTTTGAAAAGTTTCTTGCCTTTGAAAATGGTATGTCAGTTACGTTACAAAGTTGGTTGCCTCAACATTGCAAATGATCTTGGATGATTGCCCAGGTAGTCAGTTGTCTCTGTCATTTGTTGCACATTTTGGAAGTTTCTCGATTGTACTTCCTGTTTACTCAAGTAATATTACTTCTCTTCTCAGATCTTTGATGGAGTTGTGATGTAGGTGGGTCTTCTTTCTATGTGTTGATTTCATTGGTTAATTAATAAAAAAACTGCTTGGCCTGATAGGTCAGAACATAGGTGGGTGGAGTAGACAGAACAGAATGCTGGGAGAAAGATGCAGAGTCAGGCAGACGTCATGGAGCCAGCTGCCAGGTCAGACATGCTGAATCTTTTCCGACAGATTATTAGAAATGGGTTAATCAAGATGTGAGAATTAGCCAATAAGAGGCTAGAGCTAATGGGCCAGGCAGTGTTTAAATAAATATAGTTTTCCGTGTTATTATTTCTGGGGCTAAGCTAGCCATGCGGGAGCCAGGCGGGATGAAAAGCAGGCCTGCTTGCCTCATGTTACAGAGTTGAAGATTAGATAATTGTAGTTACCCTCCTCATGATTTAGCTAAACTTAATTTTAATACATTATTTAGACTCCTTGAAATAGAATGCTTAGTAAAACTTTTGTTATGTGTTTCTTGCTTAATATTGTTTATTGCTTGTAATTTTATATTTGGTATCTGTTCTTATTGTATATAGTTGTATTAGGTTTGGTTCGGTCTTGTTTAGACAAAAGGGGGAGATGACGGGGAAGCTCAGTCGATCACATCTGGCTTGGGTGTGGCCACCTAGAGTCAGGTAGATCGATAAGCGGGGTAGAGAGTCACCCCCAGAGACCACCTCACACACCACAGCCGATGCAAAAGCATGAGGATTTTATTAATTCTGTCATGACAGGGTCCCTCAGCATTTGGGAGGCCAAGAGACCTCGAATAGCTGGTACAGTTTACTTTTAAAGGAGAAGTCCACAGAAGCAAGGGGGTTGTTCTTTTACCATTATGATTGGCTTATTCAAAAAGGGCTAATACCTATAATTGGCTGGAGAACTGTTGCCAGATCAGATGAGGTAAGAGGTCATTTTGACCCCATTTCCCAGGGACTGAATCAAAACATACTGAGTACGTTCATATGTAGCTGTTAGGTCCTTGGCTCCCAGGGGAGGAGGATAAGCCTATGGCACGAAGGCTGAGAGGGTTCAGAATTGTCAGAAATAGCTTCAGAATTGTCTTAAACTCTTACATTGGAGAGATGGCTCAGTGGTTAAGAGCACCAGCTGTTCTTCCAGAAGTTCTGAGTTCAATTCCCAGCATCCACATCATCTATAATGAGATCTGCTGTCCTCTTCTGGCTTGTGGGCATTCATGCAGGCAGAATAGTGTATATGTAATAAATGAATAAGAGAGATGAGAGGTGGTGGCACACACCTTTAATCCCAGCACTTGGTAGGCAGAGGCAGGCAGATAACTGTGAGTTCAAAGCCAGCCTGGTCTACAAAGCAGGACAGTTAGGAGTATTACACAGAAAAATACCATCTCAAAAAAGAAAAAAGGGAAGTGGGGCAAAAACCATTTGGTAAAACATATATTAACAGAAGCAGGTTATTTAAGTTCTAAGAGCTAGTTAGGAACAAGTCTAAGCTAAAGGTCAAGCTTTCATAATTAGTAAGTCTCTGTATCATTATTTGGGCACCAAAAAAGTATGAAAAGTTTTGCATCCTTACATTGATGGTGGTGCCAGCTAAGGTTCAAATGATACCACCCTTTGCCTTTTTAGGCTTTTCCATTGCTAAGCAAGTTCACCCCTTCCTTTAAATTAAAAATGAAGGAACTGTAAGAAGATAAGTCTGAGAGATGAGCCAACCTGGAGTCTGCCTGAGAGCCTAGCAACATGTACTGACAAAGGTCCTGATCGTGCCTAGCCCATGAGGGACAACCACGTAATGTCAATGGATCAGAATGCAGCCTGGATGCTGGGATAAGAGCATATACATCTTGGAGGCCCCGCTCCTGTGCCCGCCAAACCTTGACCTCTCCCCTGGAGAAGGGTCAAGGCAGCCAGCCAAATCTTGACCACTCCCCCAGTTTATTTAAACTGTTCCCGGGAAAGTCCTTTTGTGGACTTCCACCCACCTCCTATGGTCGTGTTGGTGGCTTCCCGGTTACCCTCGGGACTACCCGAGAGCGCAGGAATTTCCATTAAACATGGATATCCTTTAATTTGGCTTGTTTCTGATTCGGCTTGATTGGGTTTTTTGTGTCGGCAGAGAGCTCGTGTTAGGAAATCTTCCTAACAGCTTTCCTCATTGCTGAGTAAGCAAGTCTGCTGTTTGCCTTTAACTGACTCCCTGTGTCTAGCCATTGACACTGTGCTTTCTCACCGCCTCCCTTGAGGGAGTCTTTTAGGACCTAGCAACATCTGGCACCCAAACAGGTTCTAGTTGTTCTCCTCACCTCACCTGTGTTGCTGGACAGCGCCCCCAAGATGATGTGTTTCGGTGACAAAGCTCCTTGATGCTGTTTGTTTTCAGTCCCTTCGGTGGGACAGCATTGGGAAACCCTTTCTTTTCTTCTTTTGTGTTGTCTGTCGTGTTTGTCTGCTCATCTGGTTAGGAAGGTACATTTTCCTATTTTAGTTCACCAGTGCCTCCACATAAGGGCTGATCCCCCAACCTCTCAAGAGATGGAACCAAGACTCTACTCCTGAACTCCTTCCCTCATCCAGAGACACCATGTGGGCATACAGCTGTAGCCTAAAAAACCACAGAAGTCCTCAACTAAGCATGAAACATAAAGGTCTGACACAATTTTCCACCCCTGTTGACTGTTGGTCACCTGCTGTTTCCCTCTACAAATGGGTAACCTCTCCTTCACCTCCACCTCTTCCATGTCTGATCTCTATTGGCGTCCAATGATGGGGAGACAGACAGTTCAAGGCCTGTGAAATATGCTAAGGAGAGTGTCACGTCCGCCTCGCCAACAAGGAAGACGCAACACCGAACTCTTCTAATAGTGGTTTATTCAGGACCTTTGAACAATCTTCTAACCTCTCGCCCCAAGCAAAGCCAGCCCACAGCTTAAATAACCTCTGGGTAGCCAAACCCCGCAAGCCACGTGGGAAATGCGGATAGGTCCAGAAACGCGGAAGCAAGCCAGATCCTTAGCATTAGCCATATATGGAGTTGTTCACGACTGAGAGCACTCACCGTCAGGAAGGTGGAAGGCAGAAGCCAGCGCCATCTTTAAGGTGTGGCATTACGCAGCTCTCGACAGTTCCCCCTTTTTGTTTTAGACACAACAGGCAAGAGTAGAGGCCTGATCTCTGAATATAGAAAGACATTGGGACCTTGTACTGATTCTCATTCAGGCATCATCCACTCGAAGAGTATCAGACCAGTCCAATACCTTTTTTCAGAGGTGGGATCTAGGGTATCAACCCACATGCAATCAGGCATGCTCTTCTCTGGGCCCAAGGTGGCTGACCCCAAGTGCAGTGCTTAGCCTTGCATCCTGAGCGTAACAATTTCATGGTCACCAACCATGCATAGGGGGCCTGTCCTGCTTCCATGGCTGTAAAGGCTTGAATAATCATGGCTGCATTGCGTTGTTGAGAAAACCTGATCTTGCATATACATCACAGGCAAACCAGGGAGACAAACACCAAGAGGCCTGCTAACGCTCTCAAGCCCGCCCATTCTTTCAGATGATTCATGGCTGCAGAGATCCAGGACAAGAGTCCTTCAGCCATTCCAGCATCCACTCGGGTAGAGTTCACAGTGATGATGACCACCCTCCGCTGTTCTATCACGGCACCAAACTCTCCAGTCCCGTTACCTAGGAGATAACTAGACAATTGCTTAGACAAGTTCCTACAAGTAACCCAACTGTACCTGGATCAAGGGGTCCCTTAAAGTCTGACTCTACCAGTCGGACCCCCATTTGGGGAGTTAATACGAGAGTGCCCGAACTTCCTCTTTTATTCTGAGTCAGCTATACTACAGCCGCTGTCAGACCAGCATTAGTTATTGGTCCCCCCAGTTCTCTGCAGACCTCCATCCACGCCTCCAATCCTTTACTCTTGTAAGGTGTTATGGCAGCCCTACACTCTTTTATGCATTGCTCATAAACAAGTTGTTTAATCAAAGGCATGGCTGCATCTGGGTCCCCAAAGGTTCTGCCCGCGGCTTCAACCATACGAGCGACAAAATCTGAAAATGGCTCCATGGGGCCCTGCAAGATCTTAGTGAGGCTGCTGCTTACTTCCCCTTTATTAGGCAATGCCTTCCAAGCTTTTATACCAATCTTATTAATCTGCTCAAAAACTTATACAGGGTATCCTCTCTGCTGATTGGCAAAACAGCCCTGTCCGAGCAGCATATCTCTGTTTCACGCTGGATTTCCAGCTACCTGATTAGCTGCAGCCTGCTCACTGCTAAACTCAATCAAAAAGGCTCTCCAATCTAAGTACTGTCCAGGGCTCAGGTATGCCCGAGTAAGCCCACACCAGTCGCCAGGTGTCATGCAGTATCTACTCAAGGCTTTCACCTGTGCCACAGTAAGAGAGGCTGTAAATTCTCACAGATTTAGCCAAGGACTTAACCACCTTTATACCCAGGGGCTCTTTGTACCTATATAAGGGTTTTAACTCATGATTTAGTAACCTCAAATAACATCTAATCCGGGTGTTCACAGCAACCTTTCAGGACGACGTGGTCTATCATACCATATTGGGATAGAAACAATCCACAGGGTCTCATCCTCTGCAAGAACAAAAGAAGACTCTCTCCAAAGCATCATATCCTTAGACCCAAATTCTAAAGTCATTATACCCTTACGATATCCATTCTGGTTTAGCTTGGCAGCCCATATGATGAAATGTCTCTCTGTACTTAGCTCCTTCACAATCAAAAATTTTAAAGAAAACACAATGTACATAATCCAGACTCTCTGTGAATTTTCCATTTTTACGTAGCTTATTTCCTTTATTTCTTTTAATCTATAACTATCTGTAATCTGTCTCTTTAAAGACTTTACCCTTTTTTTAAGGCATTAACTTTATTCTATATATTCTTTTTCTTCTCTCTCCCAAGTGTACGTACAGTCATCCAACATTGTGACCCAATTGTGACCCAACATTGTGACCAGATTCTTGTATGTCTGAATCTGTCCTATTGTGAATCTGTAATTTTTTAGTATCCAGGAGCACTTCTTAATATGCTAAGCAGTTCTTAAAAACTTAAGTTGCACCATGTAAAGGTAATACGGTACTGCCTGTTTACTGCCAGTCTAAACCTTAATTGCGCTTTTATTATGATAATTACGATCAGTCCTGCCTGAGGTCAGCACAGTTTAGTGTGGCCAAGTGGAGCCTGAGTCACTCCAGCCTCAGAGCCCCTCACAGTTCCAGGCTCACAGCAGGTCTTTCAGTTTGATAGCTTGCGGCACCTGTTCTTACTTTTGGTTTGATAGCTTTGCGAACTCATCCTAACTTACCCTATCTTTCCCTGCTCACTCTCTATTTACAGAGGAGAGCAGACTACCCGCTTTTATCGCGGTCACTTTAACCCCACTCTTGACGCGGTCACTAACCTCCGCTTTTGTCGCGGTCACTAACCCCTGCTTTTGTCGCGGTCACTAACCCCACTCTTGTCGTGGTCATTAACCCCGTTCTTGATGCGGATTCCTACTTTACCTGGGAACTTACCAGTGCACTACCCTGCCCGCAGAAAGTTCTGAGTCCAGATGAGAGGTTGTGTCCCCATACACCTCACCACTTGTCCCCTTCCCCGTATGGGCCACCACTTGTCATGTCCGCCTCACCAGCAAGGAAGACGCAACACCGGACTCTTCTAACTGCGGTTTATTCAGGACCTTTGAACAATCTTCTAACCTCTCGCCCCAAGCAAAGCCAGCCCACAGCTTAAATAACCTCTGGGTAGCCAACCCCCGCAAGCCATGTGGGAAATGCAGATAGGTCCAGAAACACGGAAGCAAGCCAGATCCTTAGCGTTAGCCATATATGGAGTTGTTCACAACCTAGAGCACTAACTTATGTTACCCCATTATCCTTATGTACATTAGCCACATGGCTCAGTATTTTTCTCAGTTGGGCAGGTAACATCCTGCCTCTTCGGTGGTCTGCACCGGAGTGGTGGAGGGAGCTTCCTGCTTCCCAGAATTCTCCTGTTCTCATTGTATCACCTCTACTCCTGTCTGGTTTTCCTGCCTATACTTCCTTCATGGCCAATCAGCATTTATTTAAAATATGATTGACAGATTATAGACAATTCTCCCACACTATGAGTCCATTTAGGTTTTTTTTTTTGACAGCCAGTGCTATAGAGGCAGTTCATATGCTGGCCTTTACTCGAGTCAAAGACTCATTGATCCCCATTACCAGCACTATGCTGCTCACACAAGATGTCTTAAATCAGAGGATTGAGCTCTGGTACCGGTCACATATTAGATCTCACTCCAAGTTACCTGAACTATTGAGTTGAGGAAATGATGTGACAGACACTATCATATTAACAGCCAGTATGGATCTCCTAGAGCAAGCCAGGGCTCTTTACCAGCAGTTCTATCTGTCTCCATAGAATTTGCATAGACTTCTTCCAAAATTACCAGCTTCCCAATGTGAACATTTGTCCCAGGAATTTGCCACTTGTGCCCCTCTTGCCCCTCCTAAGGACCACTTCAATATGCAGTGATTAATCCCTGGGGCTTGCTGCCTAATGCCCTCTGACAGAGGGATATTACATACTATGCCTCATTTTGCAATCTTAAATATGTTCATGTGATAATAGATACCTTTGTTTATGCCCTCGCTCTTTCTGAGGAGAAAGCCGTTAAGAATATCAAGGCCCTTAAGTTAGCCATGGTAGTTATGGTGGCACCTTGGGTACTTAAGACTGACAATGGCCCTGCCTATGCCTCTCAACAATTCAGTCACTTTCTGTGGTCCTGGAAGATTTCCCATACCACGGGCATCCCCTGAAATCCACAAGGACAAGGCATTGTGGAGAGGATCAACAGAGCTCTTAAGGTGCTATGGCCAGGCCTATCTCTCCAGAGGCTAGGAGAGATCCTTCCCTGGCCTTAACAGAGGTCCTTTTCCATATGAACTTTCTAAGTTTTGATGACAAGGGCTCAGCCCAGCACTATTTCACTGAGAAACCCTGTCTCCAGAAAAAAAAAAAAAAGATCTGTACCCCATTGGATTATTTGATAGTTTAATGTCTAGTTTAGTGAGTTCTTTATATATTTTGGGTAGCAGTTCTCTATCAAATGTGGGGTTTGTGATGATCTTTTTCCATTCTGTAGGCTGACATTTTATCTTATTGACAGTGTCCTTTGTCTTACAGAAGCTTTTCAGTTTCAGAAGGTCCTATTTATTAATTTTCTATATTGGTGTCTGTGCTACTGGTGTTATTCAGGAAGTGATCTCCTGTGCCAATGCATTCAAGGCTACTTTCCACTTTTTCTTCTATCAGTTTCAATGTAACTGGGTTTATTTTTTTTTATTTATGTATACAGTATTCTGTCTGCATGTGTGCCTAGTTGCCAGAAGAGGGCACCAGATCTCATTATAGGTGGTTGTGAGCCACCATGTGGTTGCTGGGAATTGAATTTAGGACCTCTAAATCAGCCAGTACTCTTAACCTCTGAGCCACCTCTCTCTAGCCCCTGGTTTTATGTTGAGGTATTTGATCCACTTGGACTTGAATTTTGTGCAGACAATAGATATGGATCTAATTGCATTCTTCTACATGAGAATATCCAGTTTAGTCAGCACCATTTGTTGAAGAGGTTTTCTATGTTCCAGTGTGTAATTTTGGCTTCTTGGTCAAAAATCAGGTGTTCATAACTATATATGGACTTACATCTGGGTCTTTGAATCGCAAATCTGGACATTTTATGAGGCATGGAGAATCTTACACTCAGTCATGACCAACCACCCTTTGGTCATCAAGATGCCCTTATTATGATGAATTGGATTCGTTTGAAGGCAGAGTCCTTTTCAGGCTGAGCCATGGAAGGAAAAGTATCACAGTGGAACTGGAGTTCTGGAGAGATGGCTTTTGCTACCATGTCCTGATCATGAGGGAATTCAAATAAGTACAAGTTCCACTGTATTTTGTTTTTGTTTTGTTTTGTATTAAAGGTGTGCACCACCACTGCCTGGCTAAGAAATCATATGTGTGGGGTGTGATATGTGTACATGAGGTGCCTTCATAGGTAGCCTCAGTACTCCACTGGAGCTGGAGTTACATGTATTTGTGAGCCACCTGATATAGGTGCTGAGAACCAAACTCAGGACCCCTGCAAGAGCTGTTTGTGCTCTTAACCACTGAGCCATATCTCCAGAATTCCAGGCTTATGTGCCTAGGCTTGTAGAAGCCTATGCTGGGGTGGAGACTAGCATCGTCCTGGAGTGGACCTGGATGCCTCTGGCTGAATGACTGAGACCATCTGTCCAGGGATGAGAGTCTCTGTGATCTCCACAACCAGTAGAATGATTATCCGCGGGAGGCAAGAAGACAGTTTGGTACAACATAACTCAGTAGCTGGTGTTGGTTCAAAACACTGAAGTCTACTTTAAGTAGTTTATTTTAAGCATATTAAGGCATAGTGCAATTAGGTGAAAATTATTCTGGAGATAATTAATTCAATCCCATGTATATAACAAAATATAAATAAATCTCCTTGAGGAACAAGCAGGGTAAATACAAACTGAATATGACTACATTGAACCTCTTTTTCAAGTCCATAAAGATAGGTTCTATAGATTGACAAAAACAGATTTATAATTGACAGAGAAAAGCAAATTTATGATACAGGTCTAGAGGAGGGTCCAGTGCTAGAGAAGTCTCTACCACATATATAGCACAACAGTCACCAAGCCTTCTGGGCTGAAAACAGGTTTTGCATTCCTTCCCATGAAGGGACAACCTGGTGTGTTTAATATTCTGGGTTCTTCCAGTTCTTAAATGTGAGCACACAGTGTTACAGGAGGAGCGGGGCCCCTTGTTCCATCCTGCCCGGCTAGCTTATACCCGAAATAATCACACAGAAACTGTATTCATTTAAACACTTCCTGGCCCATTATCTCTAGCCTCTTGTTGGCTAACCCTCACATATCAGTTTAACCCATCTCCATTAATGTGTATTGCCACTTGACTGTGGCTTACCAGCATGAGCCTAACCAGTATCCTTCTAGGGCAGGAGAACCATGGTGTCTGCCACACTGCCCTTCTTCCCAACATCCTGTTCTGTCTACTCCACCCACATAAGTTCTGCCCTATCAAAAGGCCAAGGCAGTCTCTTTATTCAACCAATGAAAGCAACACACAAACAGAAGAACCTCCTACATCAACAAAGACCTTCATGCCTCCTACATCTCAGGACCTGTATAGTTGCTTCCATGGCATACTAATATCAAAGGATGAAGTCATACCTAAGCAGCAGAGATAGCAAAGTTTTCTGTAGAAAGACAGGTGCAGAGACCCTAGAATGCCAGGTTCTGAGAAGGACTTCCTTTGGGGGCCCTTCGTCAATACATGGAATAGGACAAGGTGAACTATCTGGAAGTCTTTAGCACAGGCAACTGCCTCTTCCTGTTAGCTATTCTCCCCCAGGTCCCATGACCTCATTGCCCCACAAAGTCCAGTGGACTTCCACTTTAGTAGGGGTCACAACCAAGTCCTTTCCATACCCATCGGGCTGCTGATGCCTCTGACTTTGTTTCTGCCATTTTCTATTATGAGGCATCCCTGTGTGATCTCTCTAACTGCAGACTCTGGAAGTAATACTGTTGGCCCTACCCACTCTATCAGTAGGAAGGCATAGGCACTGAGGAGGGTCTGCCACACTGTGGTACACAGCTACCCCAGGGCCTTTGTACTGGTCCCTAGTTACCTGGAATATGTTTTACCCCTGCATACACATGGTTCCCTGTCCCATTTCAAACTATGATCACCTGAGTCATAGCTCTCGGAAGTGTTCAGCCCAGTCCCCCAAGTCTTTGTGTGTGGCTTTATATGTCTGATGAAGTCAAGAGTTGAGTAGGGAAATATCCTGGATCAGCCAGGTTGGTGCAGAAAAGAACCAGAGATTGATGAAATTTATCATTTCTGAAAGAGTGACAAAGGATGCAAGCTGAGGATGACAATGTTCAGGATGAATGTGACAGCCAGAAAATGGGGGACAAAAATCAAAGAGAAGAAACTGGGGCCTATGCACCAGTGGCTGCTTGTCCAGCATCATGTTTGCTGTGTGTTAGTCTTTGACACAATTAGAAAAATAAGAACGTGGTAATTAGATGTGGTGATTCACACTTGCAATCCCAGCACTTGGAAGGCTGAGACAGGAGGGTTGCCAAAAGTCTGGGGTCAGGAGCTGAGTGGGTATGGTGGTGCATGCCTTTAATCCCTGCATTTGGGAAGCAGACATATACATGTATGCATATATCTTCTTTTCTCTAGACAGAGTTTCTCTGTGCAGCCCTGGTTATCCTGTAACTCACAGACTTGCCTTGAACTCACAGAGATTCACCTGCCTCTGTCCCTCAAGTGGTGAGATTAAAGGCGTGTGTGTAACATGAAAAGGCCGGGCCTGCTTGTTCGGATTTCTGTCCTGCCCAGCCCCCCAGCTGCTTAGCCCCAAAGAAAATGACACAGAGGACTCCGTAAGTTATAATGCTGATTGGCCCATTAGGTCAGGCTTCTTACTGGCTAACTCTCATATCTTGATTAACCCATTATTCTGATCTATGTTAGCCATGTGGCTCAGTACCTTTTTCAGCTGGGGCAGCTCACATCCTGCTGCTTCGGTGATCTGGGCAGGAGTGGAGGGAATCAGCTTCCTCCTTCCCAGAATTCTCCTGCTCTCCTTGCATCATTTCCACTTCCTGTCTGGGTTTCCCACTTATACCTCCTGCCTGGCCAATCAGCGTTTATTTAAAACATGATTGACAGAATACAGACAATTCTCCCGCACCACGTGTGGGCCACTGCCTGGCTTCTATATGTGTATGTGTGTGCAAGTGTATCTGTATCTATCTATCTATCTATCTATCTATCTATCTATCTATCTATCTATCT